TGGATTTGAACCACCTACCTTGCAGTTAGCCCACAGCGTCACCAGCAGCAAGCCCTCACTCCTGCCATTGAGTCAATTCTGACTCAGAGTGACCTTGTAGGGCAGGGTAGAAGTGCCCCTGTGAATTTCTGAGACTGTCATTTTTTACAGGAGTAGACAAGTGGCTTTTGGTTTCAAACCACTGACCTTGTGGTTAGCAACCCAATGCATACCCACTAAGTCACCAGGGCCCTTCCTAGAGATGATATCTAAGGTGCACTCTGAGTGCCAAGGACCATGAAAGTGGAATAGAACAGGAAAATCTGACACCAAGGTACTGGTGCCATCTACTGGCATATGGAAACCAGCGAGGCGGCGAACAGGAGATGGGGAGGACCGTGAATGTTCACAGGAGCATCTGCATAACCCCACCTGCGCTGGTCATCTATAATTACAAAGGAAACTCAGAAGGTGGTATAACTCTCAGAATCATCTGTGCAGCACTTCATGTAGCAGAGCAAGGTGTCTTTGCTTTAACGCCCATCTTCCATCAGCAGGATCGAGACGAATGGTCTCGGGAGCTGGAAGGAACCAAGTCACTGGGTCAGCTCCTACAGGCAGAGGCAAGAGGTCCTGAGACTGCCTCTAAGTTTACCCGAGTCCAGCACACTCCCTTGTCCTTCGGTGGTCTTTAGGCTGTTGGGGGTTGGCCGGCACTTGGGTTACAAATCTCTCTTTTAAAGCATTTTTTTCCCTCTCAAAAACCTTTGAGAACCAGTAAGAGTGGTGAAAAATTTGAGAGATGGTTACTGGTGATGGTTTAGTGTATGTGTGTGTGTATATACATACATATATATTATATATGTATAAAATGAATGTCACTGGATTATATGTGCAAAATAGTTGCAAGGGAAAGAGAAAAAAACACATAAACAACAAAGCCCGCATCTTTGAAAACTCACAGAAATGAAAGTGCCAGAGCCTGCCCGAGTCCCAACATCTCACCCGGTCCCTGGCACACAGCGCGGCACATGGATGCTCAGAAAATACTCATGGACTGACTGACTAGACAGCTCGTGTTTTCTATCCACCCCACCCCCACCCCCAGGGTTTTCTGGAACTCATTTGCTTGGGGATTTGAAGCCTCTCCCTTTTCTGACCATCTCCCTGGCCCGGTACATACTGGTCCAGCACATACCAGTACTTTGAAAGGTGCGTAGTGATGCTCAGGATCTGTGGAACCAGGCAATCTGTCCCGCTGAGGAAAGCAAGATGGGCTTCTTCCTGTCAAATCTGCCCTGAAAACCTGGGGGGTCCCTAGATGGATCACTGCACAACTCAACTAGCTGTGCCCTGCTGCAACCAAGCTGGGGGGGATTGGAATAAGGCTAGTAAGTTAAGAGACAGAGAAAAGCATAAATAAGTATAAAGGAAGTCGTAGCAAGGTGACGTCAATTTGCCATCACCACTCTTACTACACAGAAGGCCCAGCCTTTGTTTTCTGCCTTGAAACGGCTGGTTACCAAGACCCCAACTAGTCTACCAACACCTTCTCAAGAATTAGTAAGAGTGTCCCCATACTGCAGCCAGAGGGATGTCTACGGCATGACTGGTTACCAGTTGGGCTTTTATCTGCAAGGTCGGTGGTTTGAACCTGAGCCACTGCGCAGGAGAAAGAGGGGTCTAAGGCCTCTCATAAGGACGTACAGTCTCCGAAATCCAAACGAGGCCATTCGACTCTGTTCTCTGGGGCCGCTGTGCGTTGGCATTGACTGATGGCAGTGAGTGTTTCAGGGAGCTTCCGGCAGGCGACGGCAGCGAACTCCCGAGGACATGGCTTTGTGAGAGAAGTATGCGCTGATTTCAGCCTCCACGGGCCCTTTACGCCGGGAACAGCCTGCCCATTCGCACAAACCCACACTCTTTGGCTAACAGGAGTGCGTCAGATCTGCGGTCCAGAAGGCACATTGGCGACAAGTAGAAGACATCGAAGCCGGGGTCCAGGTGTGCAGACTGCGCCACGGGTCGATGCTTGCACTGCGCTGGTGTCTGCTCCCCCTCAATCAACGAAGCGGACAGCATAACTCGGCACGACTCTTCTGCGATGCGAAGGCGATCTCTAGCTGCCTCTTCAGTCGCTCCTGTTTGTTCTTCGGTCCCAGCACGGGCACGTGGAAAATTGACGGATGTAACGTTTACCTTACCCAAGAGCCTCAGGGCAGCAAAGCCATGGAAAAAGACAGCGAGGCCAATTCCCCTCCATCCCTTCTTGATCACTACATTTCCAGGACTCCTTTGTCAGGGTAACTGCACGAAATCAGGCAGCATGGTTTGCCGTTTCAGCAAGCCCTTGATTTAACCATGGGAAAATCTTGCTGTCTAACTAACCACACTGGATTTCAGACGGACAATGCGCACTTATAAGGCTGTGGAAACAGTGGGGGAGGAGATGAGCTGATACCAAGGGGTCAAGTAGAAAGAAAATGTTTTGAAAATTATGATGGAAATATATGTACAAATGTGCTTGACACGATGGATGGATGGATGGATTGTGATAAGAGCTGTAAGAGCCCCCAATAAAATGAAAAAATTTTTAATAAAGAAAGAAATGGGAGCGGGGACAAATGAAAGTTGTGACCACATTTGCTGACGTTTGCAGCTCTATTTTGTGAACATGATCAGATGCTAACATGGAAACAATAGCTCTTTGGGTCAGGTTGGAGTAGCCTCTTAATTTCCTTGGGAACAGGGGCAGGGATGGATGGATGCACGTGTTACAGGCAGAACGGGCGCTTCTAGTGACTAGAGACCCACTGTTGGCGGATCAACTGTTCATGCGGTTGACTCCTCTCCACTACCTTCACCCCGGGAGTAATTTCTTACATGTTCACAAGAAACTTGTGAGGTTGGGCTTGCTTCTGTGGACAGGCCTCGTATTTCTTTTTCCTTGGGGAAAACAGGTATCCAATTAGAAGAGGAATTCTCTGGCTATCTCCTCACGGCTGCTCTTTCAGAGTGACATGGAGCTCATACGCACCAAATTTCCGCAAAGATGAAACTCCCACTCTGGACCGATAACCGTAACTCCCCTCCAGGCTGGTGGGACAAGATGGGGTGGGCCCTTGTTTTTTTTTAACTTGCACGAGACCACACCAGGGGCTCCATGGACCAAAAGTCCTCAACGTTTAATGGGACAATTAGTAGGAACTCCATGAAGGGGTCCTATTGGAAGGCCCCTGGACCCCGCCTTACTTATAGAAGGTGTAAAACATATTGACACGCTCCCAAATTGTGTCATGGCCTCACAACTTTTGCAGAGTCCAACTTCTGGGGCTCCTGGGAGAGGGACATCTGTTATTATAAGATGACATTTTAAACCTGGCAGCGGAAGCCGTTCAGGGCTCTTCTCTCTGTTGTCTTATTGCACTTGGGCAGCCGGGGCGATGCGGCTGCTCTCAGACTGCAGCCCCAGCTGAGTGGCCTCATAGGAATGAAGTAAACAAGTCGATTCTGTTCCCAGGAGAACACATGGACGAGCGTGGCCATTGCCAGGTCTGTGACGCTTCGTGTGCCAAGTGCAGGGGGCCGACCCAGGAAGACTGTACTGGTTGCCCCATGATGAGGTGAGTGGCTTCTCAGTATCTTCTGGTGGGTGGGAAGGGGTGGGTCACTGCTGGGCAGGATGGAGAAAGGAGTTGCCTCCCCCCAGAACTGAGTTGAAGCATGTCTTCCCCCAATCCATCTGAAACCCCAAAAGGTGACCCGATTTGGAACCGGGTCTTGGCAGATGTAATTCGTTAAAGACCTCGGGATGAACTCATCTTGGGCTTCGGTTACGTCATCACACCATGACTGGGGTGCATATTAGAAGATGCGAGGCCACAGGAACCCAAGGAGGTCCTGTGAAGACGGAGGCGGAGCGTGGACTGGATTGTCTATGAGCTGCCCTCCCCAAGAAGCCAAGCGAATAGCATGGGCCAGTTTCTCTCTCAGAGCTTCCAGAAGGAATCAAGCTTGCTGACACTTTGCTTTCATCTGTCTGATCTCCTGACCGGTGAGAAGATACATTTGTGTTGTTCCAAGTACCTGCTTTGTGGTACTTGGTTACGGTAGCCCCAGGGAATTAGCCAACCTCCCCCTGGGCACCCTGCACACCGCCAGGAAAAAGAATGGGACACATTCTCAGGAAGTGGAAACCTTCCTGGATTTGCCATAATCTCCGTAGCACCCTCTCCCAAGTTGCCGAACAATCATGTCGCGAACCAGTGTGTGGGGCTCTGAAGGGACTTCCTTGTGGGGAGCGATGGGCGCGCGATTCTGCTTTAGATGTCGGGAGTCTCCTCTCTGTCTGCACGTCCATCCCTGAACCACTGTTTCCACCCACTGGTAACTCCACCTTGAGAGTCAGTCTCAGCGTTGACTGCACTGCGAAGATAGATTGGACCGTTTCCAGTAGATCTGAACTTGTCTTCTTATGTTCCCTGGTGCTCTGCATACGCTTCCCTAAGGATATCTGCAGCCTTTTAAGAAGTTCTGCACTTACAACTCCGTCTGTCAGACTGTAAGCCCCTGTGACACTCATCGTCACAGCCCAGCACAGTGCGAAGAAAACGGGGAAACACTGGTCTTGAATGAGTGAGGGATGGGCAAGTATCTGAAAAGCTCCGACACTGGCTGATGGGGTGTTTGCGTGAACAGCCTCATCACTAGGCTGCAAAAACAAAACCCCAACCCAAGGAACAGGGTCTCTCCCCGACCTGGGACAGGTGTGCACCCGAGGCAGCTGCTTTACAGCTCTGTGACAGACTCTCCCTCGGGTGCTAGGTAGCTAGTCTGCCCAAGGGTTCTCCTCCGGGTGGTACTGCTCTGCAGAGCAGCCGCTGGGTCACTGCGTGTCCCTTTATTGCCCACACTCCTCCACCTGTAGTCCTAATGTGATCAATACCTGCTTGCTTGAACTCCAGTATGTGTCTAGCCAACATGGCAGCTTGACTCTCCAAATAGCCCTCTCAGAAAAAGAAAGATGGGGAAAAATTAAAGAAGGAAGGAAGGAAAGTGTAGATGGAGGGGACACAAAAGATCAGTCTCAAGAGCTGAATGAATGTCCACTGTGAGAACATTGTCCTACTGTCTCTCTAAGATATTTGGACCTCTAAGCATTGAGTTTGCTTTAAAGAAGCTCCAGGGTTATATTATAAGATACAATCTGCATTTGCAAAAGGGGCTCTCGTTTCTTTTCCAACTCCACGCTCTGCCCACAATCAAATAGCATTGCATGCTGCACATCTGTGGGGATAGAAAAATA